AATGGAAGTTGATCAGTCTACCCAAGGCAGTCGTCTCGTCTCCAAGTGTTTGCTGCAGCAGCTGTGAGTCGCCCCCGGATGAACACTGTGGTGTTGACCTGCCTGTGAAGTGGCAGTTGAGGGATTGTCATATCCGGGACTGACTGGTGGAGACGCTTAACCACTGGGGAGTTGTGGCAAGGAGAGTGATCTGTGGTATCACACGAGGCTCCTGACTAAGGGTTCGCGACCTTAGTATCGATCGTGGAGTGGCCTAACCAGCGTCGCTGATTTGGAACCTGCCAGCTATCTGCTGGACTTGTGGTTGACGGCCTCCACGACGGTGCCCCCAGTGGAACTGTGTTTTGGCTGGCCTGTGGCCGGGGTAGACTCAAGATTCTCGAAGGATTCGTCGTGAGGCCACAAGAGCACCAAGAGCTTGGCATCGTGAGCACCGTGAAGATCCAGAGTCTTCAGAAGAAGACAACAGTGTATATAATAGTGTTTATACCCCCCCCCCCCCCCCGTGTAATCTTCTTATATATATTTATTGGTGACGGTAATTATATTATTAAGTTTTTGACTTTATTTCCCTTCCCCTTTAATTTACTTGCGTTGCGGATCTCATCCCTTGAAAGCTACTACTAGCTTGGGGCCGGATACCCTATCTCTAACAACATCTGAGAAAGAACCCGGTTGCGACCCGAGAGGGCCGTAACAATGTGTTTTTCATGTGAGAGAAATCTTCGAAACCTCTTTACAGATTGCTTTTAAATTTTGACACAGTGTTGCATTTGAATAGGCGCCTGTTTTTATATGCCTACTATATACATGCTTCATCTGTGACAGGAAAAAAGATGCTTTTTTGAGAAACAGCATCATATAATAGACATAGGAGATACACATACATGCTGTAATTTCCCAAAATTCTTCACCAAATGCTTTGAAATTCTGACACAACCTTCCATTCGAATATGCGCGTGTTTTTATATACCAACTATATAGATGCCACACCTGTGACAGGTAAAAACATTTTTTTTAAAGCGCATCTGTTGCACGTAATAGCAACACACACGATACACTAAATATGTTATGAATTTAAATTCATTTAAATGTTTCCGACTGCATTGATAAATTGAATTTTCATAGATTTCGATTTATTTTAATTTTGATTTAATTATTTTGTGTGACACTGTGTAGGAACTGAGTTGTGTTGTTTACCATACCGTTCATATCGTATGTATTAATATAAATGCCACGCCACATCTGAGACAGGTAAAATCATGCATTTTTTGAAAAATAGAGCCATTTGTTAGACGTAAGAGCAACACACGCTGTAATCTCTGAATGTTCTTCATCGATTGCTTTGAAATTTTGTCACAACGTTCCATTCGAATTTACGCGTGTTTTTATATACCTAATTTATAGGTGCCACACCTGTGGCAGGGAAAAACCATGTTTTTTTGGAAAAACAGTGCTATCTGTTGCACGAAATAGCCGCACACGCTATGCTAAATGTTTTACAATTCAATTTCAAGTTTTCCGATTGCATTGAAAAAATGAATTTTCATGGATTTCGATTTATTTTCATTTTGATTTAATTATTTTGAGTGACATTGTGTTGGAATTGAGCGGTGTTGTTTACCATACCGTTCATTTCATAAGTATAAGTATAGATGCCACACCTGTGATAGGTAAAAACATTCTTTTTTTTTATGAAACAGCACCATCCGTTGCACGTAAGAGCAATACACACTATACTAAAGATGTTACGATTCCATTTCAATGTTTCCGATTTCATTGATAAATTAAATTTTCTTAGATTTGGATTTTTCCATTTAGATTTAATTATTTTGTGTGACATTGCATTGGAATTGAGCTGTGTTGTTTACCATACCGTTCATTTCGTGAGTATAGATTATTTTTATATTTTTTCATTAATTTTATTTCGTTTTTTAAACTTTTTTCTTTTATATCAGTGATGGGAACATCAGATCATTTGGGAATGCATCGGACGAGGAAGAGTGTAATGATAGGGAGGACGAGGGGACGGGAGTGGGGAATGGAAGGGAGGACGAGGGGACAGGGAAAGGGGGTATTGGTGCGGAGGACGAGGGAACGAGGGAGTTGGGGATGGTAGGGACGAGGGGACAAGGGAATGGAGAATGGTGGGAAGGACAAGAGGACCGGGGAGTGGGGAGAGGATGGGTAGGATAAGGATATGTGGGAGGGGGGAATGGTAGGGAGGACGAGGGGATAGGGGAGTGGGAGATGGTGAAGAGGATGAGAGGACGGTGGAGTGGGGAATGGTAGGGAGGACGAGGGGATAGGGGAGTGGGAGATGGTGAAGAGGACGAGGGGACGGGGTAGGGGGAAATGGTGGGGAGGACTGGGAGACAGGGGAAGGTTGGTGTGGCTCAGCAACACACATGTTTTGCTGAGCCACAGCAACGCGTGATCGGGTATAGCTTATATATATATATATATATATATATATATATATATATATATATATATATATAAATATATAAATATATAAATATAAATATATAAATATATATATAAATATATATATATATATATATATATATATATATATATATATATATATATATATATATATATATTTATATATTTATATATATATTTATATATTTATATATATATATTTATATATTTATATATATATATATATATATATATATATAAATATATAAATATATAAATATAAATATATAAATATATATATAAATATATATATATATATATATATATATATATATATATATATATATATATATATATATATATATATATATATATATATTTATATATTTATATATATATTTATATATTTATATATATATATATTTATATATTTATATATATATATATATATATATATATATATATATATATATATATATATATATATATATATATATATATATATATATTGGTGTATACTGGCAGCAGGTTTTCTTTCAAACATGTTTCATTGAATATGACCGCATATTCTGTATTTATTATTTTCTGGTTTAGGGCTTCTATCCCTCTAACTATTTTCTTAGCATCAGGGCTTAATTGAAATAGGAGTTCTCCAAAACTCATTTTCGTACTTTTAAGGTGAAGAAAAGAAGTGATTTACTATAGAGTGTATTTACACTTATTTGTATAATTTGCACGAATTTCGAACCTCCATGGTTCAGTATTGTAAGATCTGTTCACTTGAGAATGAACCATGGAGGTTCGAAACGTCGTGCAAATTATACAAATAAGTGTAAATACACTCTATAGTAAATCACTTCTTTTCTTCACCTTAAAAGTACGAAAATGAGTTTTGGAGAACTCCTATTTCAATTAAGCCCTGATGCTAAGAAAATAGTTAGAGGGATAGAAGCCCTAAACCAGAAAATAATAAATACAGAATATGCGGTCATATTCAATGAATATATATATATATATATATATATATATATATATATATATATATATATATATATATATATATATATATATATATATATATATATATATATATATATATATATATATATATATATATATATATATATATATATATATATATATATATATATATATATATATATATATATATATATATATATATTGTGTGTGTGTGTGTGTGTGTGTGTTTACTAGTTGTGTTTTTGCGGGGTTGAGCGTTGCTCTTTCGGCCCGCCTCTCAACTGTCAATCAACTGTTTACTTTAACTACTTTTTTTTTTCCACACCACACACACACACCCCAAGAAGCAGCCCGTGACAGCTGACTAACTCCCAGGTACCTATTTACTGCTAGGTAACAGGGGCACTTAGGGTGAAAGAAACTTTGCCCATTTGTTTCTGCCTCGTGCGGGAATCGAACCCGCGCCACAGAATTACGAGTCCTGCGCGCTATCCACCAGGCTACGAGGCCCCTGTGTGTGTGTGTGTGTGTGTGTGTGTGTGTGTGTGTGTGTGTGTGTGTGTGTGTGTGTGTGTGTGTGTGTGTGTGTGTGTGTGTGTGTGTGTGTGTGTGTGTGTGTGTGTGTGTGTGTGTGTTGTTTATCACTGCTCTGCAACAAGAAGTTGCAAAGCAGTGTTACAAAGAACTAAACATGATGTGAGAGAACGGTTTATTAAGAGGGCAGGACATGATGACGCGGTAAAGGTGGGGCAAGAGGACTTAACCCAACACAGAAAAACACCCGTCTGAAATGACTTGGCCTGAGAAAGATACATGGGGATATACACTGGAATCGAGGTCTCATGTGTGGATTCTGTTGATGCACATCCACTCACATACACACCCCAAGGCTCTTGTGTGTTAACTGAACATGTTTATCTCTCGACACGGAAAATGAAGGTCACTAGGCACCCTCCCATGCTACTGGTGCCAGTTGGCTCCTTACCACACCGCTGCTGACAGCAGACTCCCTCAAACCATTGGTGGCTGTAACTTCCTATTGCTTTCTGTACCAAACACAGTCGATTCTCGAATGATCAAGTTTAACCACTGCACTGCACACCCGTTTAGTAGCATATTCTCCGATGTTCCTACAGCAAGAGCCACGAGTACAGAGACATTTAATGAATTGATTTAGCGGTATTGATGAAATTCTCAGAATAATGATAGGTGATGTAGATTTGTCAAGGTTCATATGCTTATGGGTAATGATTTTATCCAACCAGAATTGTGAGAACCAAGGACACGCGCCTAACTTATCGAGACCGATAATCATTAGTCCAAGGAAGCAATAACATTTCGGAACAGTTAATTTCACTAAGGCACAGTCATTTTAACGTTATGGTCGGAAACGTTAAAATTGCAAGGGGGTAAGAAGAGCGCGGGAATGAGTGTGGTATCACGCTAAACCATCTCCACTCGTCTGTAGTAAGTAAACCCGTCAGCGTGTAGAAACCGGTTCTTGCGACATGATCTTCAACTATTTCCGCGTACTTGTGGCTGCTGCTGCTGCTGGGAAAGACGCCGTCAATGCTTCCTCTTCACCAAGCGGTGATTCAGTGATGGGGCTAAAAAAGAAAGGCAAGAGGTCCTTCATATATGCCGACCAGTTTACAAGAAGAGGGAGTGAAGGCAAGACCATCCAGTGCCCTACAGGCACCACACGCAGTTGCAGTTTACAAGAAGAGGGAGTGAAGGCAAGACCATCCAGTGCCCTACAGGCACCACACGCAGTTGCACCCTTCACACGCTCTCTCCCCCCATGCTCAGCGACTTTGTATTACGTCCACAAAAGCTTAATGACCAACCAGCAAGTATACTTGAGTCCTGAACTACACACCTCAGTATATCTAGCGTGATATATCATGTCCAGGACTTGGTGAATATACATATATATGTACCTTGAGACGTACTCTTCCCCCTCCCCTCCCCGAGATACAGCTCTCAGTGAAAATAACTCTTCCCCGTTCTCGGATAATCGTCATCTCGGATAAATAAGAACGGACGGAACACATTTCGTCGGCTGGCTTCCCGTCGGAGACATTCTTCAGCAGCACTGTGTACTAAGGTGGGTACGAGTTCGTAGTTGTGGCGGGAACATCCCACTACCAGTAACACCAGTCCTCATTATCAGTAACACCAGTCCTCATTATCAGTAACACCAGTCCTCACTAACAGTAACACCAGTCCTCATTATCAGTAACACCAGTCCTCATTATCAGTAACACCAGTCTACACTAACAGTAACACCAGTCTACACTAACAGTAACACCAGTCTACACCAACAGTAACGCCAGTCCACACTAACAGTAACACCAGTCCACACTAACAGTAACGCCAGTCCTCATTATCAGTAACACCAGTCTACACTAACAGTAACACCAGTCTACACTAACAGTAACACCAGTCTACACTAACAGTAACACAAGTCCTCATTATCAGTAACACCAGTCTACACTAACAGTAACACCAGTCCACACTAACAGTAACACCAGTCTACACTAACAGTAACACCAGTCTACACTAACAGTAACAACAGTCCACACTAACAGTAACACCAGTCCACACTAACAGTAACACCAGTCTACACTAACAGTAACACCAGTCTACACTAACAGTAACAACAGTCCACACTAACAGTAACACCAGTCCACACTAACAGTAACACCAGTCTACACTAACAGTAACACCAGTCTACACTAACAGTAACACCAGTCCAGCCTCTGCTGCCTGTTGAAATAGATCCCATCTGCTCACCATGGGGAAACTTCAATCACGGAAGGATAGACTGGGAAAATAAGGAACCGCATGGAGGTGAGGATACGTGGAGAGCCAAACTATTGGAGGTGGTGACAAGAAACCTTTTAAGTCAGCATGTAAGAGAACCCACAAGGATGAGAGGAAACGATGTACCAGCGAGACTCGACCTAGTCTTCACTCTGAACGACTTCGACATAAGAGAAATCGGGTTTGAGGCCCCGGTAGGAATGAGCGACCACAGTGTTCTGGCGTTTGAGTACCTGGTTGAAGAAGGGTTATTAAACTCGAGGAGGGGTACTGAAAACAAAAGGCTGGCATTCCGAAAGGGAAACTATGAGGAGATAAGATAATTCCTAACAGATATAACATGGGAAACAGAGCTCAGGGATAAGACGGCCCAAGACATGATGGACTACATCACGCAGAAGTGTAAAGAGGCTGCAAACAAGTTTGTCCTGGTCCAATAGGAAAATAATGAAATTAAGATGATAAACCCATGGTTTAATCAGAGATGTAGGCTAGCTAAGCAGCAAAGTAAAAGGGCGTGGAGAAACTATAGAAATCACAGGACACTTGATACTAGAGTGCCAGGAATGAATATGTCAGGTTGAGAAGAGAGGCAGAAGGACAATACGAAAATGACATCGCAAGCAAGACAATTTCTTAACCTAAATTGCTGCACAGCCACATCAGGAGAAAAACAACAGTAAAGGAGCAAGTAATGAAATTAAGTATAGGGGCAAACGGATATACTACAAACGAGAAGGAAGTGTGCGAGGAACTGAATAAGAAATTCCAGGAGGTCTTCAATTTACAGCAAGGAGAAATCCCAGAGATAAGAGAGGGAATAGTTAACCAGGAACCACTAGAAGAGTTTGAGATTACCAGTGGGGAAGTAAGGAAGCTTTTACTGGAGTTGGATGTGAGAAAGCCTGTAGGCCTAGATGGAATCTCCCCTTGGATACTTAAGGAAAGAGCAGAAGCACTGTGCCTGCCACTCTCCATAGTGAATAACAAATCACAGGCAACAGAGAAACTGTCAAGAATTTGGAAAGCAGCTAATGTAGTTCCGATATACAAGAAAGGGGATAGACAGGAGGCACTGAACTACAGGCCAGTGTCCCTAACTTGCATAGCATTCATGCTGATGGAGAAGATTGTGCGAAAAAAGCTAGTGGAGCATCTGGAGCGAAAGAACTTTGTAACACAGCATCAGCATGGGTTCAGGGATGGCAAGTCCTGCCTCTCAGGATTAATTGAATTCTACGACCAGGCAACAAAAATTAGGCAAGAGAGGGGTGGGCAGACTGCATATTTTTGGATTGCCAAAAAGCCTTTGACACAGTACCACACAAAAGGCTAATGAAAAAGCTGGAGATGCAGGCTAGAGTGAAAGGGAAGGTACTCCATTGGCTAAGGGAGTACCTAAGCAACAGAAGACAGCGAGTCACAGTGATAGGCGAGGTCTCAGACTGGCGGGAGGTCACCAGTGGAGTTCCACAGGGTTCAGTCCTTGGACCCGTACTGTTTCTGATATTTGTAAACGATCTCCCAGAGGGTATTGAATCGTTCCTCTCACTGTTTGCTGATGATGCAAAAATTATGAGGATGATTAAAATTAAAACAGATGATGATAGTAGGAGGCTACAAGATGACCTAGGCAAACTGAATGAATGGTCCAACAAATGGCTGCTAAAGTTCAACCCGAGTAAATGCAAAGTAATGAAACTAGGCGGTGGAAACAGGAGGCCAGACACAGGATACAGAACAGGAGATGAAGTACTTCATGAAACAGAGAGAAAGATCTAGAAGTTGATATCACACCAAACCTGTCTCCTGAAGCCCACCATAAAAAGAATTACATCTGCAGCATACGCGAGGCTGGCTAACAGCCTTCAGGAACCTGTGTAAGGAATGTGTAAAATGTTAGTGTCACTAAGCATGTAATACTTTAACATTTTACATTTAGCATTTACCATTTAACACTTAATAACCACTTACGAAACATGTGCATCTTTCCTAGGTCATGGCGGATTAGTTTGTTTTAATTAAACACTTTGTGTGTTGCGAAACTTCTAAGGCCAAAGCGATTTCTGATTTGGACCCTCTCGTAGCGCCACCGAGCTCGTAAAGTCTTTAATAAATGCAAACTAAGTAGCTATTAGCAAGAAAGGATGTACAGGTTTCGTTATACATCCTGGCCCCTCGTTTCTACAAACCTATTCCAATAAAGCTAAACGATCGTGTTTGTGTAATAAAGTTTCAGTGTCTATAAAGAGTGATGTCGAGAATCATAAAATTGAATCCCTTTCAGTTTGAAATATTTTTTCCACAGTAATTACAACAATTATAAACGGAAAAGAAATCTTCGGTTCGAAGTTAAATTAGCCTTAAATATATGCTTAAATATTCTGGTGCAGAGAAATGTACCTCTTGGTTTACAGATGTCGGGCTTAAATGATGTAGATGTTGGTCTGTCTGGCCCGACGTTCACGACGGTGGACTACGCGGTCTTCAGCCTCATGCTGGCGGCGTCCGTCGGCATCGGTGTGTACAGCGCCATCAAGGGTCGGGGCAACACCTCCTCGGAGGACTACCTGCTGGGCGGCAGGACCATGTCTCCAGTCCCAGTAGCCTTTTCTCTCCTCGGCGGCGTCATCTCCGCTATATCCATACTGGGTTAGTGGTCAACGGGAGATTTCTACGGGGATTTCTGATATCCAACTTCTGTACTTCGACTGTTTCGGTTCAGCGACGGCTTGTATAGCTGGTCGGAGTTCGAACCATGCTGGGCCAGGTGGTGGTTTGGGTGTGAACTGACCTGGCTTGGGAGTAGACTGACTTAGGATATAAACAGATATATTTTGCATTCAGACCGTGTGTGTGTGAGACAGTGTAGGTGGTGTGTGTACCTTGTGGTATGACAGTGTATGACTTAATGATTGACTTGGTGTATTAATTAACGCACATATGACTTAATGTATGACATACTTTGTGATTTATTATATGATGGTGTACAATTTATTGTATAACTTAGTGTGTGATCGTGTGTGACTCAATATAAATGGTGTATTATTTTGTGTATGATAGTGTATTACTTGGCTGATATGATCCTGTATGACAGCGTATGACGTAGTATATGAATGGTGTATGGCAGTGTGAAATAGTGTATAATGGTATATGATTGAGTGTGACAGTATATAATAGTGTATGACTTGAATATATGATGGTGTATTACTTATTGTATAATGGTGTATGATTTAGTGTATGATGGAGTAAGACTTACTGTATGGAGTATGACTTAGTGTATAATGGTTTATAACTTACTTTGTTCATGGCAAAGTATGACGGTGTGTGACCTAGCCTGTGAGTTAGTATATAACCTAATGTATGACTTAGTGTACAAATTAGTATATGACAGTGTATAACTCTGTGTATAACTCAGATTATGCCTCAATAAATAACAATGCACGACTCATTTTATGACCTCAAGAATGAACCAAGTAAATGATTTGTCTTTTTCAAGCTTTTTTAAATTATTAAAATTTCCTCACAAAATCCGAAAGACCCAGCCCGTCCTCCTAAGGTTTCCCCAACGTCAAGAAAACGGTCAATAAAAGTGTCCTCTCCTAACCTTCCAGAGGACCCGAAACAGAAAACGGGACTATACGTTACTTTCGCCAGCTGTTTTCATTTTTTAGTACGACAATTGTTGGCCTTAGGTAACGCATACGAGCAAAAAGCGACGTTCTTTGTAGTAGGACAGGAATATGCAACAGTCTGACTGAAGGACACTAGTGACAGCCAGACATATCAGTCACAGCTGTCGTTTTCTGACTGTATAGTTACCGTCGTCACTCTAAATACTGATACAATCACACAATCCGCTGTAGGTAAACTCAAATATTCACAATATATTTGACAGTACGATTTAATACTAAGTGTATATAAGTACAATGCCTGACTGTCATACATAGTACATAACTGCACTTATGGGGCTGTTCCATTTACCTCCCTATTTTTGGAGGACGGGCTGATCTAATGACAACGTTTGTAACAAGTCTCGCTCCTCCATGACGGCAACAGTGCCAAGTATTTGTAAAAAGTCTCTGTCCACGACGGTTCCTGGCAATGTTGCCAAGAAAGTCGTCACGTGGCAACAGGGACTAACTTTGAACCCTCTTACTCACATTTATTTTCTCACATTTGTCCTCACATATATTTTCCTTGAGTCTGAAGTCATATCTGACGCTTGTCAAATAATGAAAACAGTCTGTAATAAGAGTTTAGTTGAGTGTAAATAGGAAGTTCCTAATTTTATTCATTCAAGCTCATTCATACGTTAGACATATATATATATATATATATATATATATATATATATATATATACAGTATATGAATTTGAGTAGATATAAATAGAAGTCGCCTCATACTGGTTTATATAGGCCTCTTCTGCTGTTTCCTGCAATCATCTGTTCTAATGTGTTAATAGGCCTACTACATTTTATGTGTTCCGTTGGTTCTTTACGACAGAAATCGTTCCTGTCCCTCTACGGGGCTTTGTTCCTGAAGGTGAAATGACACAGAACTCAATGTTTCTTATTAAATTCTTGTACTAAAACGTTTTTGCGTCGTTGATTCAATAAATTTTTGTTTCTTCAATTTATTTTAAGAATAAGACTCTTATTCTTATAAAATATTCTTATAAAATATTCTTATTCTTATAAAATATTCTTATTCTAAAATTCTTATTCTTATAAAATATTCTTATATAAAATAAGAATATTTTAAGTATATGTTCAGTTTTATTGACTGTTGATGATTGTCAATTTTCACAAATGTTCTCTGAGTATTGTTTACAAGTAGACGACGAGTCACAATAACGAGGCTGAAGAAATGATGACCGAACCACAACGCAGAAGATGGAGGAAGTGACAAGGTTTCGGTTCGTCCTGGACCATTATCGAGTCGTGTGACTAAGTCGACTGAATTAGTGGTCCAGGACCACTAATTCAGGCCTGGTCGACGACCAGGCCGCGGGGACGCTAAGCCCCGGAAGCACCTCAAGGTAACCTCTAGGTAAGGACGGATCTAAATGTCGTCGGTCGTCGTTTCTCCATCTTTTGAGCTATCCACGGCAACCAACAGCTATAAACAATTTGATCTTTCTAAAATCGCGTGTCACATTAAAAAGATAACCCACTACGAGGTCAAACAAATTCATCCCAGACGTCCTCTCCTCAATTACCAGCTTCCTTCTCCTCAGAAATAGCTGTATTTGCATCTTTAAAAAAGTTTTAAAACCTATTTCAAAACCCATTATCCTTTCAGTATGGTGCTCACGTAAGCAATCAGAACATTTAATTATGTTTTGAGTGATTCCAAGCTGCTCCAACTGGTAGTAACTAAGAGGCATGTTTTAATTAGCAAGAATCTGTCTACCACAGTCTCTCTCACTCACTCTCTCTCACTCTCACTCCGCACTCTCCTCCTCACTCTCTTTCTCTCTCTCTAACAATATACAACAATCTTGCTGAGGAGTTAAGGACCATTAGTGTTCCTGCTGCGCAGTGGTCAGAGCAGTGGTTTCACCACCGAATGACCCCGGGTTTGATTCCTGCGGCAGGATAGAGAGGTTTTAGGAGGTTTTCCTTTAAACCTCGTGTTCATATATAAGTAAACAGATACCCAGGAGTTAGGCAACTGTTGCGTGTTGCAAATTGATGAAGGTCTCTCGTCAGCCAGCTGTAGTACAGCTAATCATGGTACATTTTATTTGTAATAACTTACAAAAAAAATGTATCCTAGTATGAATAACTTACTCAAGAAATATTCTAGTATGAATAACTTAGTACAAAAATCCTATTACGTACCAATTAACAGGCGAAAGTGCTTAGCTAGTATGACTCACTACACTTGTGTGGGGAATTGACCTACAAGATTTATATTTATTTATATAGAATATATATTTCTCGTTAATTTATATTTTTCGATAACAAATTGTATGATAAAGTGGACTGTATTTCAAAAAATGTCTCACAAATCACTTTCCTTACACATTCTGGCCGGGGGGGGGGAGGGTATTGTTAATATACAATCAACCATATAAATTATTGGTTAATAGACATTCACTACAGTATTAAACCACACATGTAACTAATTAACTGCAGCTTATCTTTTTGTTGTTATATCCTAGACAACCAGTATGAACACGAATGAATAAACCAGTCGATCCACTTTGTGGGGTGTGGCTGGCCTCCAACTAATGTACTGGAGTACTAGATTACTAGTGTTAATTCTTCTTCTTCTTCAATTCCATCTGTTAAAGAATACTCAAAAATAATTACAGGAATCCTATATATATGATAGTTATACCAGATGAAATATTGGTATATTGGTATATTGAATAAAAGGATGAGAATATTGCTCACCATGGGTTGGTCTCATGTCCTAACCGAAATTATCTTATATACCTAACATTACTGGCCAGGAATGACTAGATAAGATTTCGGAATTGGACACTTCTCTTGTTTAGATGATGACTGCGTGTTGATGATGGAAGCACTAATTTACTCTCAATAACTCCCTTCGTCCAAGAGAGTTTTACTGGAGCTAAATTTGCTCCTGCGACTTGTTGTTAAAATGGCTGCCTCCTGGCCTTCACTGACGCCCTGGCTCTTGTCCAGATGTCAACAAGTGGTAGAATGGTCACATTTACTCTATTTTGGTGCTAATAATTAAGTTGATTCAAGTGAAATGTTTTAATGATGTTTAATGTCCAAAGACTGTTGTATTAAGAATGTACCCAACAGAATTAGCTGGTGAAATTAATAGCAACATTCGGGTCATTCCATCTCAAATCACCAAAAAGTCACCTATGGCTCCCATTCGACCCTCTCCAATTGCCATGAAATTTTGTAGTAAGATAGCCCTAGACCCCCAATGACACTTTGCAAAATATTAGAGCTCAATCTGCTTTGGTTCTTAAATAACAGGTCCATATTCAATGGGCTCTCGTCCCGTTAATGCGTAAATACCACAAAAATGACCAACTTTTACCCTTTGTTAAATCACTTCTATTGCCTGTAGGAGTGTGAAATTTGACATACCAGGACAACTTTTGGTGTAGAATAACGTAGTGTAATCGAAAAGCAGTATGGGTGGCCATTCAGCTATCCACCCATGCTAAAATCACTGCCAAATTTTGTCACGAGAAATTTGGACCCCAATTTGGAGACCACTTACTTATCAGCAAAAGGTCTAAACGCCATGATCTTTTACAACGATATATAACAAGCACAATATTATGCAGTGATGCAATAGCAATTCTGTTGTATCCATATGTCCAGAAGTGGCCCACTTGAAAGTTGGTCAAAAAAATTTTTTGTGCAAAACTAGCCAACATTCAAGGCAAAATATCTCAATATGCGTCATTCCCAATTTGGTTTTGAATGACACCATTGGATAGAGCGGATTTTCTGTACAAAAGTAACTTTTATTTAGGTTGGGATCTGAATTTTTAGTTCAGCCAGAGGACTCTGAAAATGACATACCTTGGTGAGATATCGAAAAAAAAAATAAATTAAGATTCTCCATCTTCTTTGTGCACTGATCATGGCATTTTTTCTTTCCATTCTTTCCGGGACACATTCGACTAAATTCTTCATATTTTGCCTTGAAAGTTGGCTAGTTTTGCACAAAATTTTTTCTGGCCAACTTTTAAGTGGGCCACCTCTGGACATATGGATACAACAGAGATGCTATTGCATCACTGCATAATATTGTGCTTGTTATATATCGTTGTAAAAGATCATGGCGTTTAGACCTTTCGGTGATCAGTAAGTGGTCTCCAAATTGGGGTCCAAATTTCTCACGACAAAATTTGGCAGTGATTTTAGCATGGATTGGTATCTGAATGGCTACCCAAACTACTTGCTTTATTACACTGCTGTATTCCGCACCAAAAGTTGTCCTAGTATGCCAAATTTTACACCTCTCTGGGCACTAGACGTGATTTGATAAAGGGTCAAAGTTGGCCCATTTACGATATGTACGCATTAACGGGATGAGAGCCCATTGAACATGGCCCTATTATTTAAGAACCAAAGCAGATTGAGATCTAATATTTTTGCACAATTTGGGGTACAGGGCTACTTTATTACAAAATTTCATTAGATTTAGAAAGGGTCGAGTGGGAGGTATTTGGTGAATTCACAAGGAATGACTATTTGGCAATAATATCCCGTTTTCTATTGCTGGAGAATTCCACTATTGTCTTCTATGAGTGAATTTATTTACTAAACACAGCAGCAATATTATCTGCCTATTGTATTGAATATTAGTAAATGGTGTCGGGTTTTCCGACAACTTGGAAGGTTAGGTTGGGGGACCAGGAGCTGGGGTTGGAAGATGGAATGCAGAAACGGTGCCCAATCATTTGCTACATCAAACATCGAACGCCGACCCTCATAGAAGCGAGGCTGTCACTGTACCAACCTATCCAAGCAGTTGGGTAACGTCCAACAATGATGAATTATAGCGTCCTAACTGGTTACCAGTAGAGAAAAAGTATATATATTTTTTGGGGAAATAATTGTTAGATGCAATTGTGATGCAATTGTCATATGTAATTATGAAAAAATATGATGCAATCGTCGAAGTTATCCTCTTTTGCATATCTTCGAGAAGAGAAAGTAATAGGCTTAATTTTCCAAATTTCTTGCGCCTCTCATCTCCAAGTGCTGTCTCACTCTCATCTCCTAGTGCTGACACCTCACTCCACCCTCTCCCCTCACGCCGCCCTCACACCTCACACTGCCCTCACACCTCACACCACCCTCTCCCCTCACGCCGCCCTCACACCTCATACTGCCCTCACACCTCACACCACCCACCACCCTGTCATCAGTTCCACGGTCGGCCTCCGCAGGTAACGCCACAGAGATGTACTTCTACGGGACGCAGCTGGTGGTGTCCTTGCTGGGGTTCCTCCCCGGCTGTGTCCTCGTAAGCCAGGTCACTCTCCCGGTCCTCTACAACCTGAAGCTCGTCTCCGTCAACGACGTGAGTGACCTCTTCCTTCTCTGACACAAACACGTTGGGTTAGTGTGGTCGTAAGTGATGTAAAGTATTTATGTGGTCTCAGAAGACTATATATATGCACGTATGCTCGTTGGAGTCACTTTAGGCTCCCCCGGGTGCTGCATCTCCTCTTTTCGAGGCTAAGGAACTCTACGAACACTGAGGTGTTCCCCTGTGTTAGACAAAAGGGTACCACCTATATATACATTGCTAATATTTTACCAGTATATAGATGTTATAGGGCTACTAACATTGGTCACTCACTAGAATTAACAATTGGTTTCTCTTTGTGCCACAGTACATAGAGCTGCGCTACAGGTCTCGGGCCTTGAGGAAGCTGGTGACGTTCTTGCAGCTGCTCACCACTACCCTGGCCATGGGCATCTTCCTGTACGCTCCGTCACTCGCCCTCTCCGCCGTCACCAGCCTCCCGACCTCCGCCTCTGTGGTCATCATGGGCGCCCTCTGCACCCTCTACATCTCCATAGTCAGTCATATTGAATGTTGTGTCTACTTGCTGTCTGGTGAGGAGGGGGGGGGGGCGGGGGTAACAAGGCTCTGCGCTTGTGTTGTGGTAGGCCAACTGAGGTCAGAGGTCACGGTATCTTCACGGCATATCTCCGATACTCGAATGAGACTTCTTAGATGACGAAGCTGTTCGACAACTCATGGCAACTTATTACCTGTTCGGCTTTGATCCTAAGGCCATCCCTATGTGACATTGACCTCTGAGTTAAGCAGGTGTTTGACCTCGTCTATTCCATAATAATTCAACTGCCCTCGTGTTGTTGACGTGCTCTCTAATACTTCAGAAAGTTTTAATGAATGGTTAAAAATATTTATAAAATCATTATCAAATTATATTTTATGTTTTTTATTTGTATTCGTTATGGCACTGAATGCAAGTTTATTAATACGTAAGGAATACAACCTTTGGTAAACTTGATGGATTTATATAAAGTATTTGAGAAGGAAGGGTTTTTGTGAGGGGGGGTTTTAAGACTTACAGTAAAGTCTTTCTGAAGGGTTTTCTGATGCATGTTGGCTTTGGGACCAGGCTTTTGGGATCAAGCTTGTATCTCTCTCTCTCTCATATATATATATATATATATATATATATATATATATATATGTCGTACCTAGTAGCCAGAACGCACTTCTCAGCCTACTATGCAAGGCCCGATTTGCCTAATAAGCCAAGTTTTCATGAATTAATTGTTTTTCGACTACCTATCCTACCTAACCTAACCTAACTTAACTTTTTCGGTTACCTAACCTAACCTATAAAGATAGGTTAGGTTAGGTTAGGTAGGGTTGGTTAGGTTCGGTCATATATCTACGTTAATTTTACCTCCAATAAAAAAATTGACCTCATACATAATGAAATGGGTAGCTTTATCATGCCATAAGAAAAAAATCTGAAAAAATATATAAATTCAGGAAAACTTGGCTTATTAGGCAAATCGCGCCTTGCATAGTAGGCCGAGAAGTACGTTCTGGCTACTAGGTACGATATATATATATATATATATATATATATATATATATATGTATATATATATATATATATATATATATATATATATATATATATATATTAAGGAACATATAATCTCTTCCCACAACCAAACCATCGCCAGAGAAATCCTAGTAAACAACACAGAAATCATCGATAGATACAGCGATAGCAGGCGGCTTGACGTTTGCGAGGCACTACACATCAAGAAGTCAACACCAGCAATCAACAGCCAATTATTGCACAACTATATTCTACCCACCTCAAGACTCCGCTCCAATATAGAAGCATCAAGAAATATGGACCAATAGGCATTCTACAAACACTTCTATTCAATATCCATTGTTTCGTGTTCTGTCTTGTGTTGATGAAATTAATACCCTATTAATACTCTTGTTCTGTCTTGTGTTGATGAAATTAATACCCTATATATATATATATATATATATATATATATATATATATATATATATATATATATATATATATATATATATATATATATATATATATATATATATATATATATATATATGTCGTACCTAGTAGCCAGAACTCACTTCTCAGCCTACTATGCAAGGCCCGATTTGCCTAATAAGCCAAGTTTTCATGAATTAATGTTTTTTCGTCTACCTAACCTACCTAACCTAACCTAACCTAGCTTTTTTTGGCTACCTAACCTAACCTTACCTATATATATAGGTTAGGTTAGGTAGGGTTGGTTAGGTTCGGTCATATATCTACGTTAATTTTAACTCCAATAAAAAAAAATTGACCTCATACATAGTGAAAAGGGTAGCTTTATCATTTCATAAGAAAAAAATTATAGTAAATATATTAATTCAGGAAAACTTGGCTTATTAGGCAAATCGGCCTTGAATAGTAGGCTGAGAAGTGAGTTCTGGCTACTAGGTACGACATATATATATATATATATATATATATATATATATATATATATGTCGTACTTAATAGCCAGAACTCACTTATTGGCCTACTATGCAAGGCCCGATTTGCCTAATAAGCCAAGTTTTTATGAATTAATGTTTTTTCGACTACCTAACCTACCTAACCTAACCTAACCTAACTTTTCCGCTTCCTAACCCAACCTAACCTATAAAGATAGGTTAGGTTAGGTTAGGTAGGGTTGGTTAGGTTCGGTCATATATCTACGTTAATTTTAACTGTAATAAAAAAAAATTGACCTCATACATAATGAAATGGTTAGCTTTATCATTTCATAAGAAAAAAAATAGAGAAAATATATTAATTCAGGAAAACTTGGCTTATTAGGCAAATCGGGCCTTGCATAGTAGGCTGAGAATTGCGTTCTGGCTACTAGGTACGACATATATATATATATATATATATATATATATATATATATATATATATATATATATATATATATATATATATATATATATATATATTGTGTATTCCTCTAGTTGTGCTTGTGGGGGTTGAGTTTTGCTCTTTCGGCCCGCCTCTCAACTGTCAATCAATCAACTGTTACTAACTACTATATTTTCCAACACACGCGCGCACACACACACACACACACACACACACACACACACACACACACACACACACACACACACACACACACACACACACACACACACACACACACACACACACACACACACACACACACACACACACACACACGTCAGGAGCCTCGTAGCCTGGTGGATAGTGCGCAGGACTCGGAATTCTGTTGCGCGGGTTCGATTCCCGCTCGAGGCAGAAACAAATGGGCAAAGTTTCTTTCACCCTGAATACCCCTGTTACCTAGCAGTAAATAGGTAACTGGGAGTTAGTTAGCTGTCACGGGCTGCTTCCTGGGGTGTGTGTGTGGTGTGAAAAAAAAAGTAGTTAGTAAACAGTTGATTGACAGTTGAGAGGCGGGCCGAAAGAGCAAAAAAAGCTCAACCCCCGCAAACACAACTAGGTGAATACACACACACACACACACAGACACACACACACACACACACACACACACACACACACACACACACACACACACACACACACACACACACACACACACACACACACACACACACACAAACTGGAGGGACAGGTCCTAAATCTGCACAGTAAAATAACAATGTACTGGAGTGAACGACATGGAAGAAAATGCAGAACAGAACCAGTGAAGAGCAGAGGTGCCATGGGCACAATCAGAGAACACTGTATGAACATCAGAGGTCCCCGGTTGTTCAATGTCCTACCAGCGAGCATCAGAAATATTACTGGAACAAGCGTGGACATCTTCAAGAGGAAATTAGATTGTTTCCTTCAAGCAGTGCCAGATCAACCGGGATGTGGTGGGTATGTGGGCCTGCAGACCGCTCCAAGCAACAGCCTGGTGGACCAAACTCTCACAAGTCAAATCTGGCCTCGGGCCGGGCTTGGGGAGTAGAAGAACTCCCAGAACCCCATCAACCAGGTATCAACCAGGTATCAGGTAACCCCTCACCCACCTACCTGCCCCCACTCAAATGCTCACTCAACCCTCCCTCCCCTCCCCCACCCCATTCCCACCAGGTCTCTTCTCCCCCGCTTCCTCCCCTGGTCCCCCCTCTCCCTTCATCTCATTCCCTCCCTATCCCTCCTCCCTCCTTACCCCATATCCTACCTGTCCCCCTTTCCCTTGACCCCCCCCCCCCCACACCAGAACCCACAGTGACGCTGTTAACCACCTCACAGATTTTCACACCTACTGAACAGCTTCCTTCATCAGCATAACGCTTACCAAGAAGGGGACAAGAGAATGAACAAAAGAAAGTGAGCTCCAAGGCAATGAACACTAACATAGATGAGATTACAAATAAAACAAGTGAACTTGGAGAATGGGCACTAGAAGAAAACCCAGGCATAATAGCACTCACACAAACAAAGCTAACGAAAACCATAACAAATGCAATGTTTCCACAGGACTACAATGTAGTGAGGAAAAAGAGAGAAAGGAGACTAGGAGGTGGTGTACCTCTGCTGATAAGAAAAGGCTGGAGTTTTGAAAAGATGGCTATTCAGGGCTGTGAAGATTTCAGTGACTACATAACAGGTACCATAGCAATTGGAAGACAAAAAATTATAGTAGTAGTCATATATAACCCCCGACCAAACAACAGAAGACCCAAACAGGAATATGATAGAAATAACATGGCCACAATCAATATAATAGAGAGAGCAGCTTCTGTGGCTAGCAGGAACGGATCCAGACTACTAATCATGGTAGACTTCAACCACAGGAAGATAGATTGGGAGAACAGAGACCTACATGGAGGACCAGACACATGGAGAGCTAACTGCTGGTCGTACCAACAAGAAACTTTTGTAAGTCAACACGTCAAGGGACCGACAAGAATGAGAGGAGAGGATGAACCAGCTATGCTTGATCTGATATTTACCCTAAATGAGTCGGATATAATGGAAGTTAAGTAGGAAGCCCCCATAGGAGTGAATGATCACAGTGTATTGACCTTTGAGTACCTGCTTGAGCTAGGAATTATCTCCCCCAAAAAAGAAATGGGAATCAAAGGGCTGGCATACCAAAAGGGAAATTATGAGATGAAAAAATTCCTAAGGGTTATACCATGGGACACAAAACTCACAACTAGGTCAGTACAAGACATGATGGCCTATGTCACCCAAAAGTGTCAGGAGGCAGTAAACAGGTTTATCCCGGCCCAAAGGGAAAAAAACCGAGAAGCAAAAGAAAAATCTGTGGTCTAATAGGGCATGTATGAAATCAAAGAATCTGAACAACAGGGCATGGAGGAACTTCTACAATAACATAACACCAGAAAGCAGAAAGAGATACCGGAGAACCAGGGACGAGTATGTTAGTGTGAGAAGAGAAGCTGAGAAAATGTATGAAAATTATATAGGGATAAAGCCAAAACCGAACCAAAGCTGGTTCATCGTTTCCTCTGATCCTTGTGGGTTCGCTGACATGCTAGCTTAAAAAATTTTTTGTCGCAACCTCCAATAGTTTTTCTCTCCATGTATCCTCACCTCCATGCGGTTCCTTGTTCTATCCCAGTCTATCTTTCTGTGATTGAAGTCTCTCATGATGAGCAGATGGGATCTACTTCTACAGGCAGCAGAGGCTGTCCTCTCAGTTATAGTGTTAACTGCCATGTTGTTGTTGTTGTCATATTCTTGCCTGGGTCTTCTGTCATTTGGTGGAGGGTTATATATCACTGCTACTACTATTCTTGGTCCTCCCATTGTTATGGTGCCTGTTATGTAGTCTCTGAATCCCTCGCAACCTGGGATAGATATCTCCCTTGAAACTCCATTCCTTTCTCATTAGTAGGACCACTCCACCTCCTCCCCTTCCTTCCCTCTCTTTCCTTATTACAGTGCAGTCCTGAGGAAACACCACATTCGTTATGATTCCTGAGAGTCCGATTACATCTTGGTTCACTTCTTGTGCTCTTTCCCTTAGTTCACTTGCCCCGTTTGTAATCTCATCCATGTTCGAGTACATCACCGTGAAACTGTCTTCTGTCCTTTCTCAGTTTCTATTGCTTCCCCTGAAGTAAGGAAACAGGGAGGGACCGGGATGGGAGGCCCTATGAAGGGGGACCTGGGAGATCTGGGGTGTGCTGGGGTCTGGGAGGATCTGGGGTGTGTGTGGGGGTAGAAGAGAAAAGAGGGCTTGGGGGAGTGAGGACGTGTGGGAGGCTTGGGGAGGGGAGAGGGGGAGGCTGGGGGGGGGGTATGGGAGGAGGGAGGCCTTGGGGGGATTGGGGGAATGTGTGGGCTTAAGGGCGCAGAAGAGGAAGGATGGCTTTGAGGGGAGGTTGGGGAAAGTGAGGGCTGAAGGGGATGAGGAAGAAGGGGGGGGGGCTTAAGGGAGTGGGGGAGAAGGAAGAGCTCAAGGGGGTGGGGGGATACTGGAGGGTTTAGAGAGGGTGGAAGAGAATGGAGGGCTTGGGGATGGGGGAGAAAGGAGGGCTTGGGGGATTAAGGAGGACTTGGGGGGTGGGGGAGAAGAGAGATCCTGGAGAGGGAGGGAGGGGGGAGGGAAGGGTGCCCAAGGTGACACCTTGGGCACTACGGGCTGTGACAGGTAGAACATCTATTGGGTGGAGGGTGGGGGCGGTGCTTCTCTCAATGTTTCTGTTGAACTGCATGTGGAGGGTTCCCCACTCCCCACTCTACTCTTCCTTGCTAACAATTCCTCTTTTGTTTTCTCGCTCGTGAATACCACCTTTATCAATCAGTCTCTGTCCTTGTCGTACTGTCCGAGCCTGAAACTCTTTTCAATATTCTAGTCAGCCCTCTCCATATTTACCCCATTAACTTCATTTTTGTCCTTGTCTCTCCTCTCTGCTGGACTGGTCCCTGTTTGCTCCTTAATGACTACTATTACTACTGCGATTTGTTGCTCTATCAGCTGGCTAGTGCATCTAGCTACTTCCTGACACCAAGGCACTTCCTTGTGTGTGTGTGTGTGTGTGTGTGTGTGTGTGTGTGTGTGTGTGTGTGTGTGTGTGTGTGTGTGTGTGTGTGTGTGTGTGTGTGTGTGTGTGTGTGTGTGTGTGTGTGTGTGTGTGTGTGTGTGTGTGTGTGTGTGTGTGTGTGTGTGTGTGTGTGTGTGTGTGTGTGTGCGTGTATATTCACCTAGTTGTGTTTGCGGGGGTTGAGCTTTGCTCTTTCGGCCCACCTCTAAACTGTCAATCAACTGTTACTAACTACTAACTAATTCCCCCCTCCTCCCCACACACAAGAAGCAGCTCCGTAACAGCTGCCTAACTCCTAGGTAACTATTTACTGCCAGGTAACAGAGGCATTCAGGGTGAAAGAAACTTAGCCTATTCGTTTCTGCCTGGTCCGGGAATCGAACCCGGACCACAGAATTACGAGTCCTGCACGCTGTCCACTCAGCTACCAGACCCGTGTGTGTGTGTGTGTGTGTGTGTGTGTGTGTGTGTGTGTATTCACCTAGTTGTGTTTGCAGGGGTTGAGCTTTGCTCTTTCGGCTCGCCTCTCAACTGTCAATCAACTGTTTACTACTTTTTTTTTCTCCACACCACACACACACCACACCCCAGGAAGCAGCCCGTGACAGCTGCCTAACTCCAAGGTACCTATTTACTGCTAGGTAACAGAGGCATTTAGGATGAAAGAAACTTTGTCCATTTGTTTCTGCCTTGGTGCAGGAATCGAACCCACGCCACAAAATTACGAGTCCTCCTGTGTTTACTAGTTGTGTTTACTAGTTGTGTTTTTGCGGGGGTTGAGCTTTGCTCTTTCGGCCAGCCTCTCAACTGTCAATCAACTGTTTACTAACTACCTTTTTTTTTTTTTTTTTTTTTTTTTCCCACACCACACACACACACCTCAGGAAGCAGCCCGTGACAGCTGACTAACTCCCAGGTACCTATTTACTGCTAGGTAACAGGGGCACTTAGGGTGAAAAAAACTTTGCCCATTTGTTTCTGCCTCGTGCGGGAATCGAACCCGCGCCACAGAATTACGAGTCCTGCGCGCTATCCACCAGGCTACGAGGCCCCCCCTACGAGACCCCCTGTGCGTGCGTGAGTGTGTGTATGTGTGTGTGTGTGTGTGTGTGTGTGTCACTCAAAATTAAAATAATAATCCACTATTTTGAAAACACAAGGAAAGGTCAACTGAATATTTCGGTCCCAAACCGGGACCCTCTTCAGAAGTGAGCGAGAATGCCGGCTGTAACTATTATAGTGTCAAGTCATGTGTCCTGGGAAGAGGTGTAAGCATTAGGTAATAACCTCCTTGTAACATAATCACTCATTAAATCTGGTAACCATTTGGAGGTTCAAGAGGCCCCAAACTGGTGCCCAACCAGAATTTACTTGGGGGTTCTAGAGGGAACTTCTTGGTTCACTAAGGTTCCAGGTTGGTCAACTTTTGGCCAATCGTGGCGGAGTGGGTCTATGAATCACCAGAACTACGGGTCAAGTCCCTCCAGTGCCTCAAAATGTTTTCCTCAATGATATGTCACGCCATTGAAATTTCTATGTGGATCTAATAGTGAAGCACAGGAGGGAGAACACTCATTACCTGCAGGCCCGAGTGTGGGTAGGTTGGCTGTAAAATCTAGGGTGGGCTCTAGTTCAGGGACTCCAGAACCTCTCAGGAAATTCAGTAGAGTGCCGGGTTGGTCACCTTTTGTCCTATGGTGGTCGAGTGGGTTAAGGCAGGTGTCTGGGAATCACCAGAACGCTGGTTCAAGTTATCCTTTGCCTCAAAATAATTTTCTCATTGTGTATATAAATTTATTTAACTAACGCCTTCGGTTAGAGATTGCAGTTCGTAGAAAGAATATTGCAAGTAACGCAGGTCTTTGAGAAAGTCTCTCTGTCCACTTGAGGCTAAAATAAAAGAAAGAATACTACCATACTAAAAATGTTAATGACATTTTAACGAGGCGCTGTTAAATTTTAACTAACGAGCGTGACCTAAATGAAGCTAACCATGGCGTAGTAAAATACGTTAATAAAAGTTTTTTTCAGAAGCTATTAACCATTTTGTTAAAGAATTATAAGACTTGGGAAGTAGCGAGGAATTGTGTATGGAAAGAGACAAGGATATTTATCTTTATCCTAGAAATATCTCCATTTGTACTCAAGGAATGCAAGCGTACGCAACCTGACGTTCAGTATAGGAAGTATTTTGTGTGGAGATTGCACGTGGCAAAAACAAACCCGACCTAAAGGCATGATCTGGCATGGAGATGACAGACTCTCACAGATATTGCCTCATACACACACTCACAGATATCCTAACAGTCTGAATGCATGCCTACAGTGGAATGAGCCAAGTTAAATGACGCAAGAGGAATGGTCATCTGCAAGGAATACCGTCACTTTGATCTGGACTTAAGAGTTTCAGTATTATGTGTCATCAAGTAGTGTTTATGGAAACATATTGGTTATTGACCTACCACACCTTTGGATAACAACTGACGTCGATAGAGTGTTTAGTTCTAAATTTGTACCTCGTGTTTTTCCAGGGTGGAGTAAATGCTGTAGTGTATACAGATAAGTATACACTTATATACTACTATACACTACAACGTGCTATGTTCCTGAGAGTCATGTAGGACTCATGGGGCCTCATTATTCCCCATGAAGGAGTGGAGGCTGTGGTACAAAATTTCCTCATGATCATGGGAGTGAGTCACACAAGACTCATAATGCCTCATTATTCACCAGGGAGGAGTGGAGGCTGCGGTACAAACTTTCCTCATCTTCCTGGGAGTGAGTGACACAAGACTCATAATGCCTCATTATTCACCAGGGAGGAGTGAAGGCTGTGGTGTACACGGACGTGTTGCAGACCTCCCTCATGTTCCTGGGAGTGTTGGTGGTGGTGGTCATCTGTACTCTTGACCTTGGTGGGGTCGGCGTCGTCTGGGACTCAGCGCTTCAAGGCTCTCGGGTCGAGTTCCTCAAGTGAGTATTAAAATCTAATTTATAATTATCCTCGATCTCCTGCATATAACTAATATTTGCATATAACATTCGAGGAATTATAGAAATATTATATATATAAATAAAATCGATTTTTTTATTTATAGTAAGTTTGAGTATAATTAATAATAAAATATTACATCTAGTTTTGAATATGTTCATTATTTAAATAGTCACAATAACGTGATTGAAATAAAGGTCGTCTCTGTCATTTCATCCACGTGAGTTGCGTTATTGATACAATATTTGGAAACACTATACAAATGCGTTGGGAAATTTCTTATGATGATATTTAAGTATTCATTAAGAAATTCTGTGCAAATGTGACAAATAGGGAGACTGAAATAGAGGCCTTATAATAATTCCTAAAATTCTGTAAATAAAATAGTCTATTTTGGTGCGAAATCGACTGCAACTCGGACCATTTAATTTTCAAAACGTCTTAAGTTAGCACCGTCGCCAAGTCCCAGTTGGCTCAAGTATCCAAGAATTCAACGTTGAATCAATGCTGAATTAACGTTACTTTTGGATCTTGTGCCCATTGGGGTGAGACAGAGAGACACTAGTGAAAAAGTCAAATGGGTCTCAAGAAAATAATATTATGATAGAGAGTAAACATTGTTCTACGTTTAAATGTTGTTGTTTTTACCTAAACAAAAATCAGAGGCAATTTTTATATGTACGACAGTAGCATTTATGTTAATGAACTGTCTTAATAAAAATATATATATAACCTTTATTGGTATGAATGGAAATTGAAAACTGTGTCAACATATCTAATTACCGAATGGAATTCAAAATAGCTTTCGTATTTTTTTTTAATTTAAGTGAAAGGGAAAATGCAATTCCAAAATGCATCAAATCACTGAAATGTGTCATGTCGCTTTTGAGTCGCAAGTATCGTAGAGACGGGTCTCTAACATGTATCATACACACAACACATTGGTTTTTACCCTACAAACGAAGAGGACTTGCACTACACTGACGGGTTTCAGTCAACACTCCCCCCCAGTGTAAGGACTACGGATTAAGTGATTACCTGCTGCCTTAAGATAAAAATGTTTTGATGCATAAGATTGTAAAAAATAATGGTTTCCACTAGTAATGGATGCCTTTGATAACCCAAATCTAAAACGAAAATATCCCATGCCTAATTCAGTCTATTTAGACACAATGATACAGTGGGTTGAACCTAGATTAGTTAGGTTAAATTGATTTTTCATTATTTTTATTCTGTTCCTCTATTGTATGTGTGACCAAACAATTGCCAAAATTAAACAGGGGAAGGAGGTGATCAGTTTTGATCACCTGACCAAAAAGTGCTTTTGATCAGTCCACTACAGGACGTTACCAAGTCAATACAGGTAGCTTGTACACCAACCACCAAGTATATTTTAGTTCTGAACAGTAAACTCGGATCAGTCTATGTACACCGAGAAACTAATTATGCCTCTGGTAAGCAATGTAACACAAGAATATATTTTACTTCATAAACAATATCAATCTATTGTTATTTTGTTAATATAGTTATAACTATTGAGAAACTTACGACAGTACATGTGTAAGTGTCTTATAAAACCGAATTTCGGGATAAAACCTACAACCTTTATCAAGGCGATGCAAACATTATTATTAACAAGGATTCTAATTGCTAGTGTTTATGTGTCTGGCAGACCGCCTCACGTGGCGTCAATCACTAGACAATGTTGTGATTATGCTCCCCTTGGGGATATCCTCCACGGATATCCCCAAGGGGTTGCCGAAACTTCTGATATCCTGGTCAGTTGTTGTTGTTGGAGGGTGGAAATAGCCTAAGCTACTCTATCCCTTTGAGATGTATTTTATTGTCTCACTAATCGTACTTGAACTGGTCAATTGTCCTTGAGTTGTCCCGAGTGTCTGGGAACTGTGGGCCGGGTGTAGCGGAACATTAACTCTCAACACCACGGGAGCTGTGCTTATGTGAATTATTGAGATGAGTAAATTTAGCATCATGCAAGAATAATTTTGCAGTTAATCGGGTTTACTTTACTAAAGTATTTGTTGCCCTGTGTGTGTGTGTGTGTGTGTGTGTGTGTGTGTGTGTGTGTGTGTGTGTGTGTGTGTGTGTACTCACCTAATTGTACTCACCTAATTGTGCTTGCGGGGGTTGAGCTCTGGCTCTTTGGTCCCGCCTCTCAACCGTCAATCAACTGGTGTACAGATTCCTGAGCCTATTGGGCTCTATCATATCTACATTTGAAACTGTGTATGGAGTCAGCCTCCACCACATCACTTCCTAATGCATTCCATTTACTAACTACTCTGACACTGAAAAAGTTCTTTCTAACGTCTCTGTGGCTCATTTGGGTACTCAGCTTCCACCTGTGTCCCCTTGTTCGCGTCCCACCAGTGTTGAATAGTTCATCCTTGTTTACCCGGTCGATTCCCCTGAGGATTTTGTAGGTTGTGATCATGTCCCCCTTACTCTTCTGTCTTCCAGTGTCGTAAGGTGCATTTCCCGCAGCCTTTCCTCATAACTCATGCCTCTTAGTTCTGGGACTAGTCTAGTAGCATACCTTTGGACTTTTTCCAGCTTCGTCTTGTGCTTGACAAGGTACGGGCTCCATGCTGGGGCCGCATACTCCAGGATTGGTCTTACATATGTGGTGTACAAGATTCTGAATGATTCCTTACACAGGTTCCTGAACGCCGTTCTGATGTTAGCCAGCCTCGCATATGCCGCAGACGTTATTCTCTTTATGTGGGCTTCAGGAGACAGGTTTGGTGTGATATCAACTCCTAGATCTTTCTCTCTGTCTGTTTCATTAAGTACTTCATCTCCTATTCTGTATCCTGTGCCTGGCCTCCTGTTTCCACTGCCTAGTTTCATTACTTTGCATTTACTCGGGTTGAACTTCAACAGCCATTTGTTGGACCATTCACTCAGTCTATCCAGGTCATCTTGTAGCCTCCTACTATCATCCTCTGTTTCAATCCTCCTCATAATTTTTGCATCGTCGGCAAACATTGAGAGGAACGAATCTATACCCTCTGGGAGATCATTTACATATACCAGAAACAGTATAGGTCCAAGGACTGACCCCTGCGGGACTCCACTTGTGACGTCTCGCCAATCTGAGACCTCACCCCTCACACAGACTCGTTGTCTCCTGTTGCTTAGGTACTCCTCTATCCACCGGAGTACCTTCCCTCTCACTCCAGCCTGCATCTCCAACTTTCGCACTAGCCTCTTGTGTGGCACTGTATCAAAGGCTTTCTGACAATCCAAAAATATGCAGTCTGCCCACCCTTCTCTTTCTTGCCTTATTTTTGTTGCCTGGTCGTAGAATTCAAGTAACCCTGTGAGGCAGGACCTGCCATCCCTGAACCCATGTTGATGCTGTGTTACAAAGTTCCTTCGCTCCAGATGCTCCACTAGTTTTTTTCGCACAATCTTCTCCATCAGCTTGCATGGTATGCAGGTTAGGGACACTGGCCTGTAGTTCAGTGCCTCCTGTCTATCCCCTTTCTTGTATATCGGGACTACGTTAGCTGCTTTCCAAGGTGAAGACCTCCTGGAATTTCTTATTCAATTCCTCACACACTTCCTTGTCATTTGTAGTGAATCCTTCCGCCCCTATCCTTAATCTCATAACCTGTTCCTTTACTGTTGTCTTTCTCCTAATGTGGCTATGCAACAATTTAGGCTGAGTCTTTGCCTTGCTTGCGATGTCATTTTCGTATTGTCTTTCTGCCTCTCTTCTCATCCTGACATATTCATTCCTGGCATTCTGGTATCTTTCTCTGCTCTCCAGTGTCCTGTTATTCCTATAGTTTCTCCATGCCCTTTTACTTTGCTGCTTAGCTAGCCTACATCTCTGATTAAACCATGGGTTTCTCATCTTCATTTCTCTGTTTTCCTTTTGGACTGGGACAAACTTGTTTGCTGCGTCCTTGCACTTCTGCGTGATGTAATCCATCATATCTTGGGCCGTCTTTCCCCTGAGCTCTGTTCCCCATACTATATCTGTTAGGAATTTTCTTATCCCCTCATAGTTTCCCTTTCGGTATGCTAACCTTTTGGTTTCGGTATCCCTCCTCGAGTTCAATAACCCTTCTTCAATCAAGTACTCAAACACCAGTACACTGTGGTCGCTCATTCCTACTGGGTCCTCAAAACCGATTTCTCTTATGTCGGAGTCGTTCAGAGTGTGTGTGTGTGTGTGTGTGTGTGTGTGTGTGTGTGTGTGTGTGTGTGTGTGTGTGTGTATGTGTGTGTTTACTAGTTGTGTTTTTGCGGGGGTTGAGCTTTGCTCTTTCGGCCCGCCTCTCAACTGTCAATCAATTGTTTACTAACTACTTTTTTTTTTTTTTTTTTTTCCCCACTCCACACACACCCCAGGAATCAGCCCGTGACAGCTGACTAACTCCCAGGTACCTATTTACTGCTAGGTAACAGGGGAATTCAGGGTGAAAGAAACTTTGCCTATTTGTTTCTGCCTCGTGCGGGAATCGAACCCGCGCCACAGAATTACGAGTCCTGCGCGCTATCCACCAGACTACGAGGCCCCTTTGTGTGTGTGTGTGTGTGTGTGTGTGTGTGTGTGTGTGTGTGTGTGTGTGTGTGTGTGTGTGTGTGTGTGTGTGTGTGTGTGTGTGTACTCACCTAATTGTGCTTGCGGGGGTTGAGCTCTGGCTCTTTGGTCACCAAAGTGTGTGTGTGTGTGTGTGTGTGTACTCAGTTATGCTTCCGGGGGTTGAGCTCTGGTCTCTCGGCCCGCATCTCAACTGTCAATCAACTGTTTTTACTACTACTACTATTTTTTTCCACACCACACACACACCCCAGGAAGCAGCCCGTGACAGGTGACCAACTCCCATGTACCTATTTACTGCTAGGTAACATGGGGCATCAGGGTGAAAGAAACTCTGCCTATCGTTTCTCGCCGGCGCCCGGAATCGAACCAGGGACCACAGGATCACGTGTCCAGCGTGCTGTCCGCTCACCCGCCGGCTCCCTTATGTGTGTGTGTGTGTACTCATCTAATTGTGTCTGCAGGATTGAGCATTGACTCTTGGATCCCACCTTTCGAGCATCGGTTGTTTACAGCAATGACTATGGTCCTATTTCCCTACCATACCTAGTTTTAAAATTATGAATAGTATTTGCTTTCTCAACCTGCTCCTTAAGTGCTTTCCATTTTCCCACTACTCTCACGCTAAAAGAAAACTTCCTAACATCACTGTGACTCATCTAAGTTTCCAGCTTCCACCCATGTCCCCTCGTTCTGTTACTATTCCGTGTGAACATTTCGTCTATGTCCACTTTGTCAATTCCCCTGTGTTTGTGTGTGTGTGTGTGTGTGTGTGTGTGTGTGTGTGTGTGTGTGTGTGTGTGTGTGTGTGTGTGTGTGTGTGTGTGTGTGTGTGTGTGTGTGTGTGTGTGTGTGTGTGTGTGTGTGTGTGTGTGTGTGTGTGTGTGTGTGTGTGTGTGTGTGTGTGTGTGTGTGTGTGTGTGTGTGTGTGTGTGTGTGTATTAGGCCTGAGCTCCAAGTTATTCATACATAGATCATGACTGAACACACTTGAAGAGGAAATTGCGTATCACGATTTAAAAAGACAAATTTAACAGCATAAAAAAATAAGAATAACGTAAAACCCATTTAAAACATGAAGCTATCTTTAATTAACATATATCACGATGGAAAATGTTACAGGCATTAAACACTGATAATTTCGGAGAAAACACTGTAAATTATCCTAATTATAGCCAGTCGAGATAACATCCCAAGAATGTTCTCGGTTTAGTGCCTAACCTAACCTAACTAACCTAATCAAAACTATCGTAACCTAAACAAGTATCGCATAACCAATCCCTACTTAACAAATTAAAGTATAACCCAACCTTACACTAAACCATTATCAACCTTACACTAAACCACTATCAACCTTACACTAAAACCACTATCGCAGGCCCTTCACATTCTGTGGAGACAAAGCCTAGATACTGGCGTTATCCCTGACATACTATAAACAGCAGAGATAGCACCACTCCATAAAGGAGGAAATAAGGCAGAGGCAAAAAATTACAGACCGATAGCACTAACATCGCACATCATAAAAAATTTTGAGAGAGTGCTAAGAAGTAAGATCACAAAATACATGGAATCACAGCATCTCCATAACCCCGGACAACATGGTTTCAGAAGAGGGCGCTCTTGCCTGTCACAGTTGCTGGACCACTATGATATGGCATTAGATGCTATGGAAGACAAACAAAACGCTGATGTAATTTACACAGATTTCGCAAAAGCTTTTGATAAATGTGACCATGGTGTTATTGCACATAAAATGCGTTCAAAAGGAATTACCGGGAAAATAGGCAGATGGATCTACAATTTCCTGACTAACAGAACCCACTGTGTAATAGTCAACAAAATAAAATCCAGCCCATCAACCGTGAAGAGCTCAGTCCCCCAGGGTACTGTGCTTGCTCCAGTACTTTTTCTCATCCTCATATCGGACATAGACCAGAACACAACCTATAGCACTGTATCATCCTTTGCAGATGACTCTAGGATTTTCATGAGAGTTGGCAACATAGAGGACACGGCAAACCTCCAATCAGATGTAGATCAGGTCTTTCTATGGGCTACAGAAAATAATATGGTGTTTAACGAGGATAAGTTCCAGCTCATGCGCTACGGAAAAATTGAAAATATAAAAACAGAAACCACGTACAAAACTCAGGCAAATCATAACATAGAACGAAAAGGCAATGTTAAGGATCTGGGTGTACTCATGTCGGAAGACCTTACCTTTAAAGAACACAATAAAGTAGCCGTCACAACTGCAAGAAAAATGACAGGTTGGATAACAAGAACTTTTCACACTAGAGATGCTATACCGATGATGATACTTTTCAAAACGCTTGTGCTCTATAGAGTGGAGTACTGCTGCACAATGACAGCCCCTTTCAAAGCTGGAGAAATTGACCTAGAGAGCGTGCAGAGATCCTTTACTGCTAGAATCCACTCAGTAAAACATCTAAATTACTGGGACCGACTAAAGAGCCTAAATCTGTACTCCCTTGAGCGCAGGCGGGAGAGATACATAATAATTTACACGTGGAAAATAATTGAGGGGCTGGTCCCAAACCTGCACACAGAAATAACACCACATGAGACCAGAAGACATGGCAGGATGTGCAGAATACCCCCGTTGAAAAGCAGAGGTGCAACAGGTACTCTGAGAGAGAACTCTATCAACTTCAGAGGCCGGAGACTGTTCAACACGCTTCCACTACACATAAGGGGCATAACTGGCAAACCCCTCACAGTGTTCAAGAGAGAACTGGATAAGCACCTCCAAAGGATACCTGATCAACCAGGCTGTGACTCATACGTCAGGCTGCGAGCAGCCGCGTCTAACAGCCTGGTTGATCAGTCCAGCAACCAGGAGGCCTGGTCGACGACCGGGCCGCGGGGACACTAAGCCCCGGAAGCACCTCAAGGTAGGTAGGTAGGTAACCTTGCTTAACCAAATAGAGAACTCCCAACATTACTTAACCAAATACAGTATTCCTTACCCTATCTAATCGTATTTAGTATGACTAAATCTAACCTACCCTCTGCCTTCACCTTTCCTTAGGCAATGCAATGACGCTGCATTTTGTGGCAAAAAGGTTAATGCGTCTCTATTAATCTTCTGGATTAATGGTTATCTTGAGATGATTTCGGGGCGTTAGCGGCCCGGTCCTCGACTAGGCCTCCTTTTTGTTACACACCCCCAGGAAGCAGCCCGTAGCAGCTAACACCCAGGTACCTATTTACTGCTAGGTAACAGGGGCATCAGGGTGAAAGAAACATTTGGCCCATTTGTTTCCGCCTACACCGGGGATCGAACCCGGAACCTCAGGACTACGAATCCGAAGCGCTGTTCACTCAGCTGTCAGGCGCCTGGAATGTCCATGTATCGTAGTAGGCATCCATCAGTCTCAGGAGACTGGAGTTGCGCTCTGGTTGTCGGTCTGGAGTGGCCTCACCAGGGCGCAAAGCCAGGGTAGGTTGATTCGGGGGAGAAGCTGTTACCCAGGCAGCAGGTCCCCCCCCCTCTCCACGCCGCTGAAAGTCTCCAATGGAAAGGCATACGCCAATACGATTGGTTCCAGCGCCGTCGCAGGAACTGTGAGTTCGGGGGTTGACCTCCAAGGTGGTGAAGAAGGGCACAGGGACCTCCAACCCCGGAGACCGCCGTGGTCGGGGCCGGAGAAGAACCACCCCATCAAGGGTATGAACGACCCCTGCCACCTGAAGCAGAGCCTGGGAGGCCGCACGACCCTCGGGAGGTGGACGTCCAGGTCCCGCACCTACGGGTTCCAGACAAGGATCGTCGCAGCCCCCTTTCACCCGAGGTCGGCCTCCTTCAAGAGCAAGTAGGTCTTGAAGGAGGTCATGTATATTTTATCATAAATGTTAAGTCTCTCAAATTGCGTTAAAATTCACAGAAATTTCGTTACGTTACCAATTTCAGCAAATTTGTTTAATTGTTTAATATTCAAATTTTGTTTCTTTACTCATTACTCAAATTATTTTGATTTACACATTGTTCATACTTTGTTCATTATTCATTACTCAAACTTTGCTACATTACTCATTACTCAAACTTTTTTACATTCATTACTCAAACTATTATTCAAATTTTGTTCCATTACTCATTATTCAACCTTTTCTATAGAACATAATACTCAAACTTTATTACTCAAATTTTGTTTCATTACTCATTATTCAACCTTTTCTATAGTACTTAACACTCAAACTTTATTACTTTACTCATTACACAAACTTGTTACATTACTCATTTCTTAAACTTTGTAATGTTATTCAGTACTCAAACTATGTTACATTACTCACAATGTAGAGTATGATACATATCTCCACTGTACATAGCATGCGATACACATCTCCAGTGTACATAGCATAAGGAGACATACACGACTCTCTTGTACTCGACAGCTTCGACACGAGCCCCTTCGTCAGACACACGGTGTGGTCGACGATGTCTCTAGGCTGTTTCATCATGATTTTCTTCACCGGCTTCCAGCAAACATCGTACCAGAGGTTCGCTTGCGTAAACACACTCCGAACAGCAAAGACGTAAGTCTCCTGTAACTGTGGCAGTATCTGGTAAAGTTGATTTAAAATCAAAATATCACAAGTATTTCTGTACTCTAAGCATTTCACTTGTAAAAACATACTTCCTTTATATACGGGTTAACAAACGCAAGGGTCTAAAGCATTTTTTTTTTTTAAATAACAGAAATATTATGTAAAAAAATTAATGTTGCTATAATGCAGGCGATGAGTCACAATAACGCGGCTGAAGAATGTTGACCAGACCACACACTAGAAGGTGAAGGGACGACGACGTTTCGGTCCGTCCTGGACCATTCTCAAGTCGATTCTGAATGATTCTCAAGACAATTGACTTGAGAATGGTCCAGGATGGACCGAAACGTCGTCGTCCCTTCACCTTCTAGTGTGTGATCTGGTCAACTTGCTATAATGGTTTATTTCAAAATAACCCTGAAAAAGTAATGTAAAAGATCTGATTCTTTCTCTTTTGAGCTCAACACCGACAGCAACGAGGAATATGTAACTCCTGTAAGGTTAATGCTCCCATTGTCTCCCTAGACTATGTGTCGTCTTCGTTGGGGGGCTTTACCTGCTGTGGTTGCTGTTCTTCTTCTGTGGTCTGGTGGCCTACGCCATTTACAAGGACTGCGACCCGTTCACCTCAGGAAGAATCAGCAAACAAGACCAGATCTTGCCCTTCCTCGTGATGGACAAGTTGAGTTATCTTCCAGGAGTCCCCGGGATCTTCGTGGCGGCTGTCTACGGGGCCGTCCTCAGGTCAGTCTTCGTCGTTCGCTTCAACGGGACTGAAGGGTGAATGCAAGCGTAAACGTATATATTCATGTGTCTACATACATATAAGTATGTCAAGGATCAGGTGGATGTGGTAGTGAATGTCTATTATGGTCAATACTTTCAACAAGTACATAAAATCATGTAATTTTTGTTTAAATATATTATTTTCCAAACAGTTCCTTCTCAAGTTACGGCAACTCAATGGCTTGTATGGTCTGGGAGGACTTTTTGAAGGACTTAAGTTGTTTCAAGAGTAAGAGTGAGAAAACGTCCACCAACGTAATGAAACTTCTCTGTACGTACTATGTATGTAGTACAGTATGTATGTACGTCCAATAACAGGTTCATTTTCTGAACGTAGTCATCCTTATTCATGATAACAACAGCATTGGACTTATCAGCGTTTATGATGTGTAGGGAGTTATCTTTTGTGATGGTTTTGAGCGCTTGAATAAACCTATCTGGACAATTAGGAACTGTACCCCTAAGTAAAGACCCGTACACCATACCTTTGCAAATATTAATGTCATCGTCTGAAATCTCACTATATTTAAAAAAAAAAGATAACTCCCTACACATCACAAAGGCTGATGAGTCTAATGCTGTTGTCATCATGAATAATGATGACTACGTCCAAAAAATTAATCTGTTATTGGATGACAGGCACTTACTTACCTGTTAAGAGTAACCCTATTGAAAAAGTTATTGCACATTTTAACAAAACTCTAAAAACATTGCTCAAGAACGATAAGGACTTGATTCATATATTTTTAGGTCGTTCCCCTTTCCTACCATATCTATATGGTCTAATTAAAACACACAAACCCAATAATCCTGCAAGACCTATTATTAGTTCTGTTGGATCTGTGGCAGATAGACTTTCCAAATGGTTTGTCCAAGTCTTGTCCCGAGTAGTAGGTTCCATTTCCGACTCACACATAACCAACAACTTGGACTTGGTTAACAAGTTGTCTGGTTTGAAATTAAATTTTGATTTTAAGCCTGTGAGTTTTGATGTGACGGCTCTGTTTACTAGAGTTCTTGTTGATGACCTGAGGGAGTTCTTACGAAACTAACTCCTTAAATATAATTTAACTTTACCCACTAACACCATTGTTTGACTCATAAAATTGAGTATTAAAGATAAATATTTCAGTTTCAATGATTCATTTTCTAAACAAACATTTGGCAATGTTTAGGTATGTTGACGATATTTTGTGCCTTTGGCCGGTTAACCATGACCAAACCGATTTTCTCAATCAGCTTAACTCGCTGGTTCCGTCAATTAAAGTCATAATTGAAAACGAAGAGAATGGTGTTCTGCCTCTTTTAGACATCATGATTCATAGAATCGGTAGGAGTTTCAAATTCAATGTGTATCGGAAACCTACCAATGTGCGCTCGTATGTTCATTTTTACCCTAATCATCATGTTCAGATTAAGCAGGCAGTATTTTCTGGAATGTTTCTCATAGCCCTGAAAGTTTGCAGTCCCGAATTTTTTGATGAAGAAGTAGCAAATATATTTGAAATTGGGAAGAAGTTAAAATGCTCAAAATAGGTATTGGATCTTGCGTTTAGTCAAGCAAACAGGACGTTCTACAAACAAGCTTCCAAGTCTAAACCAGAACTGAAAAACTCGTTGGTATTACCATATTTTGATTGACTAGTAAAGCTTGCCCCAGCCCTGAAAAATCTTAATATTAACCTAGTGTTCAAAAATAATAATACAGTTAAGTCCATGTTAATTAAGAACTCGCCCTCTTCTGTATCAGGTTGTGTGTACTCCATCACTTGTAATGAGTGTGCATGTGTTTACATCGGTCAAACTGGTAAATCTCTTTCCTCACTTTTTAAACAACATTCTTATGCTATCCGTACAGCCCAGCACTCCTGTACCTTGTATTTACTTTCTAGTTTATCTGATCCTTCTACCGACTTCCGAGGGGCAAAATGTATTGTTAAAAAGTAAGGGTTTCGTTGAACGTAATATGATTGAGTAAGCTCTGATCAAACAATGTAACAACAGCCTTAATGCAAGCCCTGGTATGTACAAATTAGAGCACCATATAAGCTTCAATAGAGTACGTCAATACAATATATCATCCATTTAACCCTTTTTTAATTGTATATACGTCAATAGGCCTTTATTCTAATTTTCTTGGTGGTTAGGTGACCTGCCCTGACGGGTATAAGGTCTGCCTTCCACGTTTCTTCATTCTAAAAATGCTCTGAAGAAAGCGAATTGAGCCAAAAACGCATTTAGCATTCTTTATTTTTCCCATGCGGTTCGATTTACTTCTGGGGTGTAGAGTTTTCAGTTGCATATATGCTTGGGGACCATTCAAGCTTGTTCGCATTTGTGTTGCTCACATGGCCCAACAAAGTGAAGTGATTTGATGAAATAACTATGCCCAAGCTCACCACCAAGTGCCGTCGGGACGGTGGGGGAAATACCTCGGCTACCATCGTCTTTTGTACGGTCACGGATGGTCAAGTGAAATTGGGAAGAACCAGATACGCCAGTTGCATAGTGCTCCTGGCTGTCTGGGTTCGAGTCACTTCTGGGGTGTGGAGTTTTCAGTTTGATATATATATATATATATATATATATATATATATATATATATATATATATATATATATATATATATATATGAATCACGGGAGTAGTCACAAATGATTGAATCTAAACTTTCTCTTAAACCTCGTTCACTTGATGTGTTCAAATTGCGCCTCTCCAAATGCTTCACCAACGTACTACAACTCTTAAATAATTCCTCTATTAGGCCTAACTGTACTTGGGCGAGCATTGCCTGAGAATGGGCGGTTTCATTCATAAACAGGAGGGTTGCCGACTTGATTGTCGAGCACTTGGTCAATATTTCGATACTGACCTGATCACCACTAAGCCTGTTCGCTCACAATTTGTAACCTTTCAAGAGATTTCGCTAAAAGATATTTTGTCAATGGTTCAATATGTTTTGAAGCAAACCCTGAGAAGTATTATTTGGATAATATTTGTGTCTAGTTATATCTATCAGTAATGTTGTAAATTATTACTATTTAAGTTTGAATTATAACAATTTTGCATCAGCTTTAGTTGCCGGAGTATTGGGTATCGGCGCGGGACTTCTGGCTGGGCAGCTTGGCAGCTTATTCCAACTTATCAATACCATCACTGGAGCTCTCTACGGGCCGCTGGCTGGAGTTTTCCTTGCAGGAATCTGTACACCTTGGGTAAACGCTAAGGTAAAGTATGATTTTCACACCAAGGTAAATGCAAAGTACCTTAAAAAAGCAAAGTGCATTGTAGAGTACCTTAAAAAAGTAAAGTGTAGTGTAGAGTTCCTTAAAAAAGCAAAGTGTATTGAAAAGTAGAGTACCTTAAATAATAAAATATTCTTCTTAAGTAAAATGTAGACTAATGTTTTTATGTAATGCTGCCACTAATGTGCTATTTTTTAATGAATGTACTTAATTTTCATATGAATACTGCAGGGAGCTGCAATGGGATGTATTGCGTCAATCATGTTCTGCACCTGGAGTGTGGTAGGGAGCTTCATATACGGCGGATCCCCGAAGGTTTCATTGCCACTGTCCACACAAGGTTGTCAAGAGAATGGGTGGTCCTTTGTCAACAACACATTCATCACCTTCAACAGCACTTCTTTGTTTGCTGACACAATGTACACGTCCACTCCGGATGACGGGTTAGTGCCACACACCTAGCCTCATGTACCCAAACCTAACCTCACCCAACCTAAGGAAATCGAACTTAACCCAACTTTATCCAAGTTAACCTAACCTAACCTACACCGACTAACCTTAACTAAACCTAACCTCGTTGGTAGAAAACTATATCTGTGTGAAACTTCTATGAACGATTTGTTAGAAAGGAATTAGTATCTTTACATTTATAAAAAAAAATCAGTTATTATCCAGCAACTAAATTCGGTATATACGATTATTACAAGATAAAAATTAAATTTACTGGATAATTATCTGCAGCAGAAGTGAGTCTTTTCTTCGCTTGAAACTATAGTACTAAAATATTATTAAACATATTTGGCATTGTTAACCATTAATTTACATAATATTTTACTTACTAAATGACTATGTGTTGGTCGCCAGGCTATTTCAATTACGATTTTTGTTATTAACACATTTAGGTACATTTGCATTTGTGCAGCTGCCCTAGGCTATATGAAGGGGAGTACAGCGTGTCAAAAAACTAGCTACGTGATACGAGTTCCCAAAATGTATGGACTAAAAAACAAAAAAAGTTTTAAAAATATGTAGACTCTCAAACACAGGAGCGACGTGTTGCTAACTTCTGTGTAATATATAAAGTTCACAAAACGAAAATTCCACACACTTTAGCTTCTCTAAGACTCCCTCGAGAATATACCAGGAAACAAGAGGTATCACACGAGACT